CTGCATCTGCAAAATAAAAGTAAAAGACAAAATATTAAAAACACAGTTCTAAAATTAAGATGCAAACTAATTACTTTCTTTGTTTGTATTACGAGCCAGTTGGGCTAAGTAATTCTACTCTTTTTGGTTGTTGAATAGTATCTAAATCCTTCTCTGGAGACACCTACTGCCAAAGTGGCTTCGATCATTTTCATTATCCACTTATCCATGACGGTATTGGGTGCCCTAATCCTTGGAAAAACTGAGGTCGCCGTTTCTTGCCGATAAACCAGTGGGCGAGTATTTATCCAAGGAGCAAAACGATTTCGTCCTCCGACGGTAATTTATAAATAAAATAAATAGCATCTGATGTCGCAATGCCATGCCTCCCCTCCATTTATCCGCCTACGGATCGTTTTAAGAGAGAAAGTGACCTTGGTTAGCGATTATGGCGACAAAGTGGGTAATGGGGTGTGAAATTTCTTGCGGATATAAAAAGCTATAACGGAAATAAATGTGAAATCTTGTAGGTGATTAAATAATAGAGAAAATCCTGTTTGTTCCTGACTTATCCGGATTAAGAACAAATTCAATATAACAAAAATTTGAAAAACACCAATTTGTAAATACTGTCAAAGTTTTTATATATTGTTGTTGTTCAAAATTAACCTAAAAATAAAATAATTTTTTATAAAAAAACCACCACGGGACTATATCAATGTCCTGTTTATGATAAATTTGTAAATATAATAATTTATAATATTCCTTCTGTAAAAAAGTATGTGGATGACTTAATCCTAGCTATCCCCAGCAATGGATACAAAGAAATCTTAAATGTATTCAATAGGTATGATCCTCTACTACAGTTCACAATCGAACATGAGGACGATCTATGCTCAGTCCCCTTTCTTGACATCCGGTTCATTAGAACCCAAAATAACTCCCTGGTTATCGACTGGCATAGAAAACCTCATAGTTCTGGACGCTTCCTCAACTATTGGTCATACCATAGACATTCAATTAAAATCAACTTACTTAAACAAATGAAGGCTAGAATTATATCCCTCAGTGACCCTTCTTTCCATCAGAAGAATCTGAGAATCCTGTCTAACCTCTTCATGGACAACTCATATCCAAAACCTTAGTCACCAAGATTCTATTTGGTTTGACTCCCAATATAACACGCCGAAATGATGAGGTTCAAATCAATGTCACAAATGGAGAACAAAATACCAATTGCTCATATACTTCACTGAAATACATAAAAAGCATAACACCCAGACTGACAAGACTTTTTAAAGATGTCACCAATTTAAAAATAGCTTATAAAACTTCACTAACTGTAAGATCTATTTATTCTAAGGTTAAAGATAAAAATTACATCAAAGATTGTTCCAACGTTGTTTACCAGATCCCTTGTAATAACTGCAATTTGGTATATGTGGGACAAACCACTCGTAACCTAGGCAGTCGCCTAATCAGTCATCGTAGCGACAGCAGACTATATCCAGAAAGATCTGCACTTGCAGAACATGTGAATAAAGAACATCATATTATGAATTACGAATCAGTCAAAATTTTAGCTACTGAAGTCCAATTACAATAAAAGACTTTTTTAGAAATGGCATTCATTGCACAAAACTCAAACGCAATGAACAAAAGGAGTGACATTAATCAATTAAGCACTATTTACTCCTACCTATTATATTTGGATAGTTCATCACAATTCAATGATGTTTCAACGACTGATTCATTGTAAAGTTTCCAGGTTTCTGTGTTTTTTTCACAGTTTCATTATAAAATTCTGTTTTTCTAATACAACCTTTGTTAAAATTTAATGTGGAATAATAGTAGTACCACATAAGACAAAGAAATAAGAAGAAGTACTGTCATTTGCCATGTCCAGGAATGACAGTTACTCTTAACCTATCATTCAACAGTTGGCCGGCACACGTGGCTGTTTGAAACTTTTTAACTGTCTTTTTCTTATGTGTTTAAGTATAATAATTTACCAAGTTTGGTCTTATACACCATGCCATTTTTATATATTTTAAATATTTTAAATGTTGACTCAATTAATGAGTGGTGCGTAAAATTGTCACCTGTAAGTGAAACATCCACGAAAGACGAACCTCACTAACGTAAGTTTTTTCTCGATTTTTACAACCATTCACTATAACTAATTTCGAGGATGCTTTACTAACAGTCGCACTTTATTTTCAGTTTTTCCTGATGATGAAAATAAACATTTTCGAAAGCTTGAAACTTAGTTAAAAGAGTACACTTATTTCACCGCTGAATAAATCCCAATAAACCTCAAAGCTCCGTTTTCTAACGTTGTCAGCAGACTTCTTTTCCTTTTCTATATATATTATATATATATATATATATATATATATATATATTATATATATATATATATATCCTTTTAAAATCTGACTGTACATTAAAAGCTTTGTGCACATATTAAGAAAATAAAACTAAAATTAATTTATTTTTCCAATGTCCAACTCATAGTCCAGAAACAAAGTTTTTCTGGTGAGTGCATAAAATTGAATAAATTATCAATAAAATCCTTTACATATCTATGATGTACTCCACAAAACGTGCCATTTATTGTAAATACTAATCCTAATCTTCCCAACATACATCATCCTTTAGTATCATTGGATATCATGCTAATTGATGGTTTGCCCATGCATATATCGCTTCCGATAAAGACTATATCCCCTAATCAAATGGACAAATCATATCGGATCCAAATCTGAGGCACGTGTAACCCAAATCACCCGACACGTGTCTACAATCCTTTTTACTGTCTTTCAGGAAATAATAACAGTCATAACGAAGTCTTAGGATTAAAAAGGAAGTTGATTTTCCCACGGCACCGAATCAATTTAAGCTGGTAATAAATTTTCGAAGCTTGTTGATAAAGTCCGTGGATTTTCTGTTTGTTGGAAAACGATTTCAATATTTAAGCGCTGTAAAATAAAGAGGATAGTTAGATGAAAAAAAAAGATTTATTATAAACGGTGTTAAAATATTTACGTTAAATTTCATCGGAGTAGTATATATTAAAAAATGAGAACACTGTAATTATTCAAAAATTGCCAGCAGAAAACAAAGAGAGTGTTCATTTGGCTTTCGTGAAGTAAACATCGTGTCATAGTCCAGGGAAATAATGATTTTCCGTGACTTTGGTACCCCACCATGTCTCTGACAATTTTTTTGATTTTTATGGACCTCGATAACCAACACCTTTACGTCTCCTGTAGTGGATTCGGTGGACTTTAAAGTTTATATTACTAACAAAAACGCACCACTTTAAAAAACTTTCCTCTACTGGTAAAAAGCAATGCATTTTCATAGATTACTTACATTTACATTTGCAATAAATTGTTCTAAATAACTAATAAAATTAAATTGTTCATAATATTTTATTACAATACTGTTTTACTTATAACTGTAGATATATATCAAATTATATATTTGCCATATTTAAGTTATTGTAAATTTAACGGTAAATGATCTATTTCTATGTTTTGTCAACAAAGATCGTCCTAAAATTATCGTAAAATTTTTTTCCATAAATTGTTTAAACCATTTACAGATTACATTTATATATATATATATATTATATATATATATATATATATATATATATATATATATACATTTAAAGGTTAATTTAACATTTAATTTGTTAAAAAATGGCACATTCGTAATTTAACAAATATTACATACAAATTATTAAAAGTGTTTTTAATATAGGATACAAGAAATATAGAATAGAAACAAAGATCTGGGAAGCTGTGAAGATAAACAAAAAATATTGCAAGAAAAAGGTAAACTCAGACACACAAGAGACGGTAGAGAAATATATGGGGCGGTGAAAGGAAAAGTGGTGTAAGTCATCTGAGTATCATTTTGAGATATAAAAGGTTTTACTAGAAACATTGTAATTAAATCTATGGAACATTTATAAACATGTTTGTGATATTTTTTATTTATTAGGAACACGTTCAACTCTATTAAACATTTTTGTAAAAATAAAACTATGTTAAGGGTAGTTTTTAAGGGGTGAAATGACTTTCACCACTTTTCCTTTAAGAGTTTAAAGAGAATGTAAAGAAAGCAAAACATGTTTATTGTTTTTACATTAGAAAATCAAATATAAATTCACTAGTTTATTAGTCATTGTTTTCTTCTACATCAGGAAGTGGTCCAGCTTCGTCATTGACTTCATCAGATGATATAAGATTTCTAAAATAAGAATGGTGGACTGGAGGAAGGTATGGTAGTAAATCACACATATCCCGTTTTTTAGCTGGCATTACTGGTCGAGGTGCTGTGTACAAGCAATCCAGTTGAAGATTTTTCAACAATGTTGGTCTTCCCTTCTGCTTGCTTAGAAGGATATTAATTTGTAAAAAGGAAAAATCTTCATGTAATGTTTCTTTATAGAACAGTGAAAATGGCTCATCTTTTTTTGCTCTAATCCACTGAATTTTTAACCATCACACTGGTTGGTTATCCGTATTGGTTTTTCCTGTTGAAATTGATTTAGTGAGATTTTTCAGATCTTTAAAGTCTCCTCTAAGCATTTTTGTGAAAATGAAAGCTTTTTTCTTTCTACACCGAATTATGACTGAAAACCAATCTTCAGGCACATAAATCAGTTTGCCTTTAGAGTTTCAATTTAACCAAAGTCGGAGTCGTTTGGTAAGTAAGAGTGTCCGCTTACCATAAAATTGTAATCGATTATTTCGATACTATTGTTTTCACTTTGAACTAACCGTAACAAGGCCAAAACAAAATTTAAGTTTCTATTTTGGCCGATGCAGCTGTCACTGTACAATACAAACATGATTTGAATTTGCTGCACGTAATTCTATGTGTTTTGTGACACAGGCACTGATTTCCTGAGATCCTCTCGAAGCTGTTGTTTCATCCCATCCATACATGTAGCCTAAGCCAGATAATAGCTCATGACAGCCCAAAATTGTAAATCTACATATTACGTTTATAGTATGCGATAGATGTGATTAGTTTTGGAAAAGGTAGGGCTTTTTCTAGGTCAAAGGTGAATACATAGTAAGAATAGTCAGTCTGGGCCTTTTCTGTATCTTTTTTCATAGAAGTACGTGCAAGCTCGGCCTTCCTAAGAGGGAGTTCGTGCTCAACTTCAATCTCAAATTCAATCTGTTTTATCTCGTTATCATCTATTGTTGCAGCTTTTTTTAATTTGTAATCATCACGCTTAGAGCACGTATCTTTTTGTGGTACATGAAAATGAAGGTTGTACTCATTATTGAATGTACGGCGATAAATATCACTGGAAAGGGAGACATTAACTTGTTCCTGACAGTACTCATTGTACAAACGATACAGCAGGGTAACATTAAGGTCAGAAGATAGATAAATACGATTGGGATTTTTATTCCTTGTGTAGTGCGATTGGTAAGATAAAAAATTTTGAATATGTTTCCGGATACAGTTCATACGTTCTTCAAATATTTTATTAGTTGGTATACCATGGCCTCGATTATCTGAACCAGGTGGTTCCCCTTGTTTTATCTTATTAATTACCCGTGACATTCGGCCATCAGATATCTGAAAGGTTCCAAGAAAGTATTTTTTACGCACTTTCGTGGTTTCGCCTTGACTGTCGTCATCCATTGTATTGAAAAATCACAACTACAAACTACTAAACAACTGTCATAGGAATGACGGAATAGTGGTGTAAGTCTGACTTGGACCACTATTTCCTCTACTACAACAGAGATTTTGTTTGACTGTCAAGTTTGTGCTGCTATCTGTGAGCAAATGGAAGACTTATGACTTACACCACTGTTGCGTCTGATAGATTTAAATATGGATAGTTTGAATATGCAATTATCACTATTCTATAAAGAAAGTGACTTGCACCACTTTTCCTTTAACCGTCTCATATATACATGCAGCGCTAACGTCCATGGAGGCAAATATACAAAAAGAAATCAGAGACATAGCAAAACAAGAAAGAATAAAAATCAGATACCAGAAATTAGAAATATGAGAAATGGATGGATGAAAAGGAAACAAGCAATGCAAACGAAGAGGGAAATGAGTCAAGGAATATTCAAAATAATGAGAAAAATACAAAAAATAGAAAAAGAATTAAGAAAATTCCAAAAAAAAATTTGAACATGGAACCTGAGGTCGTTGCTGGAAACAGGAAAAATGGAAGAACTAGTAACATAGTTAAAACAACACAAGATAGAGATTTCAGGAATTCGGAAAACCAGATGGAAAGGACATGGAAGTATCGAAAAGGAAAATTATACAGTATGAAATGCAGACGAAGAAAAACAGGGATGTGGAGGATCGGCTTTTATGGTAATAGGAGAAATGAGACATAAAGTATAGAATTTAAACCCATAAGTGAAAGAATATCATACATAAGAGTAAACAGCAAACCGAACAAGTTGTTCATAATAAATGTCTATGTACCAACAGAAAACAGAGATGACTGGGCAAAACAGCCATTCTATGAAATACTAAAGTTCCGGGAGAAGATATATTCATTCTTATAGGAAATTTCAACGCCCAAATAGGCAAAGAAAATTGCTTCAGAGAGGTTGCAAGTACAAACTCAATACATGACACAACAAACAATAATGGAGAAAGACTATGTAATGTAACAACGGCATTAAACGTGGACATAAGTAGCACGAGATATAAACACAAAGACATATATAAAATAATATGGATAAGACCAAAAAGTTTAGAGGGAAATCAAATAGACCATGTACTGATTAAAAAGACACACAAACAATCGATAAATGACGTTAAATCTCACAGAGGGGCCAACATCGATTGGAACCATATGCTAGTGATTACAAAATGTAAAATAAAAACAACGAAGAATGAATATCCATAAGCACAGAGAAAATGAGACGTAGATAAATTGAAAGAGAAAGAAATAAAAAGAAGATTTGTACAAGAAGGAAATACAGAGATGTAGTTCAAAGAACAGCAAATGGAGGAGAAGTGGCAAAAAATCAAACAAGAAAAGAACAATGCATCAGAGAAAGTGGTTGACAAAATGCAAAATAAAAGAAGAAGTAATTGTTTTGCCGATGAGTGCAAGTTAGCAGTGAAGAAAGAATAAAACAAGATTGAAATGGTTAAGCACAAAAATGAGAAAAATACAAAGATCAAAGGCAAAGAAATTATTTAAATTGAAAAAAAAAATCAAGAAGGAGAAAAACGAGATAGAAATAGAAAATAAAAGACGCAATGGCCAAGACACAACGGCAGAAGTATTTCGATGAAATATTTCAAAAAACCGATAAAGAAAAGAACAAAGAGAAACAACAAGGAGCACAAGATGAAGAAGAAAAAGAATTGACCTTAACAGAAGTGGAAAAGAAAATATGCAAACTTAAAAACGAAAAAACAGCAGGAGAAGACGGAATATATGCAGAACTTATAAAATACGGTGAAGAGCCACTATGCAGACAAGTGGAAGAAAACTTAGGGATATGTAAATTAAAAATATAGAAAGGACAAAGGACAAACGATATAAATTTGCTGATTTTTCACTAAATTCAATATTTCTGTCAAAGTGACAAAATGTAATGAAAAACGTAGTTTCCTACCCTGTTTATCCTCATAAAGAGGGTTTCCAGAAAAAAGTTTGTTTATAAGATTATTCCTCATTATTGTACTATTCATGAATTATCTACACCGATAAAACCGTTGACTTATTTTATAAGTATTTTGAACCTCACTGCTTAACTTAATATTATAAATACACGTATGAACTAACGAACTAAAGACATTAGCTCAATATATTGTATCAAAATTAACTTTTATATTGGTAATAAAGGCCACAAAACGGAAATAAACTTAAAAACATCCAAAGACTTTCGTAAACAGCTTTATGGGGTTTTTGGTTCTGAAAAGCGGACCAGATCTTACAAAATTTTATAGCCGTTGTGGAATTGCCCGATAGTGACTCCACGGTTTTTTGCATTCTGGATAATGAAAGTGACTGGTCAGCAGCAAGCAGTTTTAATTTTAAAATCAATATAATTTAATATTTTTACTGGGACTTAACCATAATTTTAGTTTAAAATATGTTTATTTTGATGTTTACTTTTCCAAAATTGTGGTTATACGAAAAGGTCAAAGAAAATAACATCAGAACAATATTTAAAATCAATATCGCGTATTTTTCTGACACAGCTGAGACACGTATTATACGACAAATTATTCTAATAAGTAGACGTTGTTTAAGAGGTTCAAAAGTACAAAATGGAAAAAAACGTTGTTAAGAACAAGAGAAGCCATCTGAAGTTCTGTAAAAAACTATAAACAGTAAAAAAAACAGAAATTAAGTTCTCAACTCTTGCTTTTTAGTAATTGAATGCATTATGTAGTTAACTAATTGTGGCATTGAGTATAATAGACTGAAGAGATTTTAGTATCTTGACACGCATAGCACTTGTAAATAATTATTAAACTCTTGTAATTTCTTGTAATGATTGTTGTGATGTGATGGTGATTTTTGGCTACATAATTAATAGGTAATTTTTCCATTACAAAACAATTTTTCCACGTTGTTGGCTCTTTAAAGAATTTCATCAGATAATTGTTTGTGTTGCCAACCATTGTGCAATGATTTTTTACCATCGTGAGGAAGCTGTCAGTATTCAAAGCTATCAGTGAGCTTACATTGAGGTGCACTATAAATTTCCTTCTTTATAAATTATGACTAGTAGTATTAGTCTAGTAGCAATTGATGATAATTTGGATTTTTCTAATAACACTCCAGGCTAATTGTTGATAGATCTTCACTAGATCAGTGTCTCCACACCAAAAAAACTATAGCATGCTTACAAGCACCTGAAATAAAACAAATGAAATGTGAATTGATTGATACTTATATTATGTAAATATTATTTAAAACATGTAGAACAAAGAAAAATTGTATTAATGGACCAATTACATCAAAAAAAGCAAAGGTAATGAACCAGATAATGCATATCCATCAAAATATTCAAACTCATAACCCCCTCTGTATTGTGTAGTGTGTAGTGGTTGAATTATGTAATTAATATATCAGACTTCCACAATCCTCATGTGCATTAATAAAACTCATTATGAAATTCAGGGAAAGAAAAATGTGAAAAAACTGAAGAAAATAATAGTTATATATATATATATATATATTATATATATATATATATATATATATATAATATATATATATTATATATATATATATATGGCGAGTCTTTGCAACTTTAATTTTGTCACTTCTCGCATCCCAATCGCCATAATTTCTTATCGACCCAGTCTCCTTCTTGAAGACCTCTATTTTCGATTTCTATATGAATATTGGATATCCATTTCTTTCTTGGTCTTCCCCTTTTATTTCTCTGTGTAGGTCTCCAGTTCCAAACCTTTCGTGGTATCCTTTCTTCGTTCATCCGTCTCAGGTGTCCATACCATTTTAATTGTTTTTCGGCTATCGTATCCATTATTGTGTTCTTTACTTTCATTCTCTCTCTTATGTTTTCATTTCTTATGTGGTCAAACAAAGTTAACCCGGAACATCTTCTCCAGTACATCATTTCCGTTGAGAGGAGTTTTTGTGACATATTATTGTTAAAGACCCACACTTCTGACCCATACGTCAGCACCGGCTGAATCATAGCCTGATATATATTTTTCTTTGTTTTATTAGTTAAAGTTTTATTCCACAGGATCGGATGTAGTGTTTTTATCATGTTTTTTCCTTTTCCTATTTTTCTTGTTATATCTTTGTCGTCTCTCCCGTCTTCGCTTAGTGTAACTCCGAGATATTCGTACTGATCAACGTTTTTAATTAATCCGCTTTCTGTTTCCATGTCTTGACCGATGCCTCCTATATTCATGTATTGTGTCTTTTCGGTATTAACCTCTAATCCCCATTTTTTGAATTCGTCTATTAGTTTGTTTATCATGTACGTCATATCTTGTAGGTCCTCGGCAAGAACTACCTGGTCGTCTGCGAAGAGGATTGTGTATATAGGAGTGTCATTTACCCATATGCCCATTGGGCTGCATTTTCTCATCCAATGTTTTAAAGCATTACCAAGATATATTTTAAACAGGGTTGGAGAGAGGCAAGAGCCCTGTTTGACACCCTTTGTTTGGGTGAAACCCTTGGAAATTTGGTTTCCAACCTTAATATAAGCTTGGTTATCTTGATATAGCTTTTTCACGGCATTTATATATACTGCATTTATACCTGCGTTTTCCAATGTTTTCCATAGTCTCTGCAGTGGTACGGAGTCAAACGCTTTACGGAGATCTATAAAAGTGGCATGAAGTTCTAGTCCTCTTGCTAATCTCTTTTCCGTTAGGTGTTTGAGAGTAAATACATTGTCGACACAAGATCTCCCTGGTCGGAATCCACTTTGTTCTTCGATCTCTGTGGCTTCTTTTTCTATTCTGGCTTTCAGAACTCTTTCATACAGTTTGCCAGTGGATGACGTAATGCTGATACCTCGGTAATTACTGCAGTCATTCCTGTTTCCCTTTTTGTAGATGTAGTTTATGTACAA